TATACATTATACGAAGTTATACGATAGTGCACCGCTTGGGAAGCGCGGCGGCACTCCCGCCGAGGGTTCGGATCCCACATGCAGACCGGTTCCCGCTCACTGGCTGAGCGAGGCGCGGGAGCAACACCGAGGGCTGCGATCCCGTTGCCGGTCCCGGTCCGGTACGGGGGCGACACTGAGGGTTGCGATCTGTTGCCGGACACGGAAAAAAAAAAAAAAAAAAAAAAAAAAAAAGAAATAGAAAAGCTTTCTCCCCTTGGTACTATCTTGTATAGTCCTGTTTTACAGGTGGTTGGCCTGTATAGGGATCTAACCCTGAACCTGGATGTAATCCTGTTTTCTAAGATAGTTAGAAGATGATGGTTGATTTGCATTGTGCATATCTCACATCATTCTCTAAAGTCAGCTTCCCATGGTTTTGGCCAGGTTACTAAGTTTACTTGCTGCATGGTGAGCTGAAACATCTGCCAGAGGGCCTGAACAGGGAAAGCAGGATAATGCCTACTAGTAGCTGCTTACAGGGGCATGCAGAGAGCATTAACCTAAGGACAGTATCTAATTATATGTATGGGAGGTTGTATTGTTTCTGGATAGCAAGCTATGCTGGGTTACCTTAGATCCCTTGCTATATACTGTGTGGTATTACGATATGTCTTTCATGAGGAATAATAACTGATGAAGAGAGGGCTGTGGTTTGATGATTATTCGATAGATGCTTAAATGGACACAGTCTTCATACACTCAAACAGTTTTACCTGTAGGTTTATATAGGCCATTCCTATTTCTTAGCCTAATACTATTCATGGAGCAATACTAATTCGTTGACTTTTCTAAGGTTTTATATGTTACCATGTGTACACTTAACCTTTTTTCAGAGCATGCTCATGAGGTAGTAAGATTGTCCTTAGAAATGTTATTGTTTACAGTGTAACTTGAACTTTTCTGTCAGGGATGCTGAAGTAATATTTTTGTGGCCTATTTTGGTGGTTCCTAAATGACTTGGTTTTCTTTTGGTTTCTTTCTCATAGACAAGTTTGACCAAGTTTTCTGACAGTCTTCAAGAAATGATCAATTTTCATACGGTAAGTGCCAGTAAACAGGCATTAGTATGCTGGTGTTAACATTGCAGTACTTTTCTTGAGTGCCAGTATTTTATGCAATGACTGAAGTTGAATTCAGTGACTGATTGGTCAACAGCTTTTAGTTGGGAGGATCTAAACTGTACACCGTGTGTGTGTGTGTGTGTGTGTGTGTGTGTGTGAGAGAGAGAGAGAGAGAGAGAGAGACAGAGAGACACAGAGACACAGAGAGACAGTGAGAACGTATACAAATTTTATTACCCATTCTAATATAGTGAACTTATTTTAATTCATTATATAATTAATTATATTAATTATATCAATTATATTAGAACTCATTCTAATATAATGAATTAATTATATACCCATAAGTTAATTTTTTTCCTTTAAGTTGTGGCTTTGTAAGTTTTTAAGCGTTTATTTAAGAATAAAAAAGTAAGAGTCATCATTTTAAATTTATGTTTCCTTTAAGATACTTATGGGGCCGACCCCATGGCGCACTCGGGAGAGTGTGGCGCTGGGAGCGCAGCATCGCTCCCGCCGCGGGTTCGAATCCTATATAGGAATGGCCAGTGCGCTCACTGGCTGAGCGCGGTGTGGGCGACACCACACCAAGGGTTGCGATCCCCTTACTGGTCACGAAAAAGACAAAAAAAAAAAAGATACTTACAAATATATCTCCTTTGTTTAATCAGTTGCCAATATTAAAGACTGATATTCTTTGAGCTTTTTTTTTTTTGTCTTTTGTCTTTTTCCGTGTCCGGCAACGGATCGCAACCCTCAGTGTTGTCCCCGTACCGGACCGGGGACCGGCAACGGGATCGCAACCCTCGGCGTTGCTCCCGCGCCTCACTCAGCCAGTGAGCGGGCACCGGTCTGTATGTGGGATCCGAACCCTCGGGCGGGAGCGCCGCCGCGCTTCCCAAGTGGCGCACTATCCAGTGCGCCACCGGGCCGGCCCTTCTTTGAGCTTTTTATATATGTGTTTAAAAGTTGAGAACATTTATCCTTCAAGAATGAGGGATATATATTACTTCTGGAATATCACAAATTCCTTTATAAATTTTATAAAAGTTTGCTGAAAATATGGTAGCTTATAAACTGTATACTTATATTTTTAAAAATGCTTAAATAATGGGGTTATACAATTATTAAGTGCTTCAAAATTTATTAGTAGCTGTCTGTAACAAGAGTATTAATACTTAACCTAATTAATAAAATGTGCTAATCTTTGATTCTTAATTTGATTTTTTTTTTCCCTTTTTTGTCTTTTTTTGTGACTGGTAACGGGATCGCAACCCTCGGTGTCGCGCCTGTACCGCGACTGGCAATGGGATTGCAACCCTCGGTGTTGCAACCCTCGGTGTCGTGCCCGCACTGCGCTCAACCAGTGAGCAGACCGGTCTCTATATGGGATCTGAACCCTCGGCGGGAGCACCGCCACACTCCCAAGCGCCGCACTCTACCGAGTGCGCCACCGGGCCGGCCCCTTAATTTGATTTTTTAAAAAATGTTTTTGTTGGTCCAAGTATCAAGGATGAAGTTATTATGACAATATTTTTTTAAATTGTAGTGTGTATTAGTCATTTCTGTTGCTTATAACAAAACTACCTGTAACTGGGTAATTTGTAAGAAAACAAAATTTATTGCTTACAGTGTCAGAGGCTGGGAAGTCCAAAGTCCAGGGAAGACATCTGGCGAGGGTCTTCTTTGGTGGTGCCTTTACAGCAACACAGGGGTCTCACATGGTAGAAAATGGCAGAGCACAGAGAGAGAGAGAGAGAGAGGAGTTCATGTGCTCTCCTTTTGTTTTTTTATTTTTTATTTTTTATTTTTATTTTTTTTAAAGATGACCAGTAAGGGGATCTTAACCCTTGACTTGGTATTGTCAGCACAATGCTCACCCAGTGAGCTAACTGGCCATCCCTATATAGGATCTGAACCCGTGGCCTTGGTGTTATCAGCACCACACTCTCCTGAGTGAGCCATGGGCCAGCCTGATGTGCTGTCCTTTTAAAGCTCTCAAAACCATGCCCATCAACTAGGTCATGGTCCTTGTGATCTAATCACCTCTTCAAGGCCCCATTTTTCAATTATCATAATGGGATTTTCCACCCTCAACAGTTACAGTGGGGATTAAGCATCAGTGATTTTGGGAGGGGAGACATTTAATCCACTGCATAGTTCAAATTTTAGCTGTACCAAAATTGACACATATAAGTATCTGCTTGAGTGCCTGTTTTCAGTTTTTTTTGGTATATACCTAGGTATGGAATTGTTGGTAATTCTATGTTTAACTTTTTGAAGAATTGTCAAATTGTTTTCCACAGAGGCTATGCCAATTTATATTCCCACCAGCATTTATGAGTGTTCTAATTTCTCTACATCCTTGTCAATATTTGTTATTTTCTTTCTTTTTTTTTTTTTCATTATAGCCATCCAGATAAGTATCTCATTGTGGTTTTGATTTGCATTTCTCTAATGACTAATGGAGTTGAGCATCTTTCATGTGCTTATTGACCATTTGTGTATCTTCTTCTGCCATTGTTACCATTGTTTATTAGAGTCTCTTGTTCACTTTTTAATTGGGTTGTTTATTATTTTTTTTAGTGAGTTATAGTTCTTTACATATTCTGAATATTAACCATATCAATATATGATATGTAAGTATTTTCTCCCATTTTGTAGGTTTTCCTTTTTACTTTCTTGATAATATCCTTTGATGCACAAAAGTTTTTAATTTTTTTTTTATCCTTTTTGTCTTTTTTACTGACCGGTAACGGGATCTTAACCCTCGGTGTCGCGCCCATACCGGGGACCGGCAACGGGATCGCAACCCTCGGTGTTGCACCCGCACCGCGCTCAGCCAGTGAGCGGGAACCGGTCTCCACATGGGATCCGAACCCTCGGCGGGAGCGCCGCCACGCTCCCAAGTGGCGTACTCTCCAGCGCGCCACCGGGCTGGCCCAAAAGTTTTTAATTTTGATGAAGTCTTAAGTCCAGTTTATCTATTGTGCTTTTGGTGTCATGTCTAAGAGAATCCATTGCCAGCCAAAACCTAGGTCATGAATATTTACCCCCATGTTTTCTTCTGCAGTTTTATGGTTTTACCTGTAATATCTGACACCAATTTAATCACGCATTAGTTTTCTTTTTGCTTTCTACTGAATTTGGATGCCAGTGTTTGGCATATTTCATTTCTCTTTAAATCAAATGATCTTTTGGATTTAGACTCCTTAAAAAATGTAATTTAGTAAGAATTAAGTTTTTTTGGTATAAGTTATTGTTTTGTTAAAAAGTTATTGATTTTAAATTAACATAAGAGGTTAGGGCCGGCCTGTGGCTCACTCGGGAGAGTGTGGTGCTGATAACACCAAGGCCACTGGTTCGGATCCTATATAGGGATGGCCGGTTAGCTCACTGGCTGAGCATGATGCTGACAACACCAAGCCAAGGGTTAAGATCCCCTTACCGGTCATCTTTAAAAAAACAAAAAAACGTAAGAGGTTAAATGTTTTCTTTTTTTTTTTGTCTTTTTTCGTGACTGGCAACGGATCGCAACCCTCAGTGTCGCGCCCGTACCGGACCGGGACCGGCAACGGGATTGCAACCCTCGGTGTTGCGCCCGCACCTCGCTCAGCCAGTGAGCCGCCGGTCTGTATGTGGGATCTGAACCCTCGGCGGGAGCACCGCTGCGCTCCCAAGCGGCGCACTGTAGCAGTGCGCCACCGGGCCGGCCCAAATGTTTTCTCCATAATATATTATCCTTTGAAATATTTCTGTCTCATATATTTTTTAAACTACTAAGTCTGATATTATTGCTTTCTATAAGAATCCCTTGCTCTTTGTCATAGTTTTAAATGTGAAAAGTTATGATGAAGATAAACTTTTGTAAGTAAACTGTTTAATTGTATTTGGAAGCTTTCTTGTTAAGAAATCTTACTTAGAAGTATTTATAAATTACTCTTAGAGTAAATTAAATCTCCAAAAATCAGGTTTGTTTGAAGCAAAGTATATATGTATTATTTGCTTCAAGGGGATAGAGACCAATGTCTTTTTAATGCTAGTGCTCTTAATGTGTACCTACTTTCCCCAAACCTATATTGATTCCACTAAAAGGAAAGCAATCAGTGTTTCTTGACTTTAACACTATGAAAAGAACATAGTATGTAGATAGAGATAACTTAGTTTGAGTTCAGGTCTCACTGTTATTAGCTGTATAATTGTCATAAATTTACTTCATCACTTTCATTTTTCAGTTTACTCTTCTATAAAAAGGGAATAATAGAATTCGTCATGCCTGTTTTTAAAGGTATGAGTAACAAAATATGTGAAAGTAAACTCTGGAGAGTGATATTCCTTCCTTAACTCTTTTGGTTGACATCCGTTCAGGAAAACAGAAAGCACTTAGGGTATTTCTGACAAAGAGGTTAATACAGGGGATTGGTTGCAAAAGTGTTGGAAGAGTTCGAAGAATAAAAAAGCTAAGGTGATCAAGCTACGGGAGATCAGTAAACATGGGAAGTAGCTATAGCTCCTAGGACTGGAGGAACAAAAGGGAAAGTGGTGTTACTCTGAGCCCCTAAGTACTACACTGTTGAGAATACTGCCATTGTTACCTAGCCAGGAAGCCAGGAGCTTGCCTTCTTGTTGCTGCTGCCTGAGCCAAGGAGCCCACAGTCCCACTGAGAGTTGGAATAGCTCATAGTTGCTCACTGAGGCTGTCAGAAGTAGGAAAAAGGTGGCTTCTCCTTCTCTCCTGCTTCTTAATTTGACATTGGCTGTCTTTGGTAGAACCTTTCAGCTTACAAGGGGATCTGGGAAGTATACTTTGCAAGCTTCTAGCCCCTGGCAGTACAGAGGAGGAGACTGTGTAAGGGTGAGAGTGGAAATGAGAGCCAACAGGTAAACAACCAGCTCACTAACCATGAAGGCTGTAGTTTTGTAATTTTTTTGGTAGGGAAATTATTGTAAAGCTTAACTTTTATCCTAAATTTTTTTTT